ACAATTAAATTGAAGAATTTAAATTGAAATTTCAAAACAATAAACTTAAAAAAAATTAATGAAATTGCTTAAATAGAAATAAAAATTTATCAGTAAAAAAAGTACAAAATTTATACGAAATTTATTGAATTAAATGAAATTCTAAGATCTAAGAAGCCATGAAAAAAAACTTTTAATTTTAATCATAAAATATTTCGCAAAATTTATTCAAAAGAATAAATAATTTTATGCTTATAAATCGATTTGTAAAATATTTTTTTTAAAATGATTTATCGTTTTTTAAAACTGCATAAAATCTATCAAACTAAATGAAATTTTAAGCAACAAACGTAAATAAAAATTCTGTATAATAATTATATAAGTATTATATAACAAAAATATCGTAAATTACTATAATTTTTTTCACATCAAGTGATCACACGTGCAATTACCACCTTTCGCAATTTCACAATTCTATGCCGGCTATTGATATTTTCTCTCTATATATATACAACTAAATAACAGGAAGAAGAAGAATAAGGGGAAAAAAATTATATTTTACAGAAACATTCGTTTCAATATGAAAAATATATATTATTTTTCTTTCATAAATATCAAAACCTGAAAAAGTTTTATATACGTATACTTTCTGAAAATTGATATTTATACGAATGGCAATTTCGTCTTCTATACTTTATTATCATAACAAAAAAAGTGATTTTTATCTCTCCTTTCCTTGATCCAATATAATTTCAATTTGGTTTTTTTGTTTAGATTTGCCACAATTGAGATTGCACTTGGGCAGTAACCTAAGGCATTCAAACATCCAAGAAGGTAATGATGTTTATTTCGAATGTAATATAAGAGCTAATCCCTGGGTAACAGAAACTGGTTGGAAGTTTGAAGACAAAGAACTTCACACTAACACATCTTCGGGCGTTATCGTCAGTAATCAGTCTTTAGTGCTTCAGAGGGTCAATAGGTGGAATCGAGGTAAATACACCTGCACGGCCACCAATACTGAAGGTCAGGGAGAAAGCAATAGTGTTTATCTCAGGGTGCAACGTAAGTAAACTATCAATTTGTCATTTATGCATTACTTTTTATCTATTTTTTAAACGTTTTATAAAGTTTACTTTGTAATTAATATATTATTTATTTAAGAGACTACTAATATTATTTATGTCCACTGATTTTTAGTCTTTAAAGACGTATAAATTAATGTATATCTTTTAAATGTAATTAATTTGATGGTTAAGATGCCCATTCCCTTTTGTACATTAATTACTATCGTTATGGAGCCTAAAATTCCTTATTTTATTGGCAAAAGTAACCTTAAATTCGTACTTCGCGCTACCTGAATAGAATTGATAAACATTTGACATTATTCTTAAGGAGAGAACTTTGGTTATTGCGCTACTAAATAACCCCTTAATCTAGTATTATTGCAATAAATAAATTCTAAAATCATCATAATGTACCTAAACAATCCTTAAAACTTTTATTATTCTCGAAAAGAAACCACTAAAATTCATGGCAACTCTCATCCTCTAGAAATCCCTATTTAAACTATTGAATAAATTTACTTCTTTACTTCCTTAAAAGTCCTTAAATTCTTAATCATAGTAATAAATAAATCCTATTTTTTTATCCCAAAATAACAATTAATCTGCTGAAACAAATGTGTTTTTTTTCCTCTTAAACTTATACTGCTACATGAATTTATGTTCTATCGTGGATTAGGATAAAAGTTGACCGCAGTTACGAATAAACGGCATCAGGAATCAGGGGAATAATTCTTTCTAGATGAAGATATATGTTATACAAGTTCTTTATTGAATGATATCGATAGAATTTAAACGATAAACATTTATTTTAGTCTTACTCAAAGGAGTTGTAAGTAACTGCACGTTGGAATTAATCTCTTTGATACCCCGTACACCATTCATAGCCGACATTATTGAGAACCTTACACTAGATTAAGCTTAATAATATCAAAGATAACGTCACGAATGAAGAAAATTTCGGTTACTTTTAAACGTGATGCCATTTTTCTTCTACTGACGTACCCCATTAATGGCTTCTCGTCTCTTAAAGACGAGGTCTTTTTTTTTTATAGTAAACAATGGCAACTGTATATGATACCAATACCTTGTAGATACACCCGTGTGCACATCCGGACAGAAAATGCTGTACGGTGCAGCTCGACACGAAATGGTACAAGTAGAATGCGAAGTTGAAGCAGATCCTCAAGAGGTGACGTTCAGTTGGAGGCATAGCAATTCGGGGGATGCTCTAAAGATGATAAACTTCTCCAACCACGGGACCAAAAGTATAGCAACGTACATACCGAGAACAGAAAGAGACTACGGGACCCTCTTCTGCTGGGGAAGAAACAGTGTCGGGACACAGAAAGAACCATGCGTCTACACCGTCATCCCAGCAGGTATATCCCGGGTGCGTTACTTTGCCAGTTGTTATTGTTCTAACTATTTTGGGTAGTATGTTTAAGTAATATATATATATACATATACATATATAACAAAAAAAGAACAATGACACAATGCATTTCTTTTTTGTATTAAACCTACCTATATACGTTTCAGGTCCACCTGCCATATTGAAAAACTGTACCGTCACAAACCAGACCGAAGATTCTATAGACGTGGAATGCGTAGAGGGTTATGACGGTGGACTAGTACAGCACTTTATTATGGAAGTGTACGACATGGCACACAATAAACTTCGCTCGAATGTGACATCGGATAACCCCCTTCTATTCGCAAGAGGTTTGACTGCAGGTACAAAATATACCGTTGTCATTTATTCGGCTAATGTCAAAGGTAGAAGTCCATCAGTTGTGCTGACGACCACTACCCTGTCAGCTCCAACTAGTCTGACACAAAGAGGTAGGTGGAGTTCCACTAAACCGAATCTCATCCATCAAACTCCAGACTTTCAATAATAATGACTCATCTTCATCGGATCGAAAGTTTAATTCGTATAAGTAACTAATGAATATCTAAAATTCACAAATATTTCTTCTAATCTATCTTACGTTAGATTGAAAGTACGATCTATAAATATTAGAAATTCCATTTTTCAATGATAAACTCTTTGATTCTAACAAGATTCCATCTTATCAACTGACAGGTGTTTTTCGTATAATCTCTTCATTTTTTGCGTGCGCAAAAAATGATGAATACCCCACTAAAATATTAATTAAATGGAGTCTGGAGCTGTTTAAACTAATTAAACTATCCGTTTTTTAAAATTTGTAAAATTTTATCTAAGAAACTTCATGCCATTTTTTTTTAAATTGCAATTATTCGATACTACTTTTCTATAATAGAGAAATATCTACACATTGAACACTATCAGAGCTACATTTTATTTTTATCTTTATTATCGCAGATTACGAATGGGAAGTGGATTTAAGACCGATAGTCGCAGGCATTATCACAGTCATGATCATGCTCATCTTGGGTGCATTCATTGCACTTTTAGTTGTGAGAGCCAGAAATGGAAGACACGATCACAAAAGTAAGTTGAATTTCTCACGAAAAACTTAATTTATTTTTAGTTTTTTTTTACTTTATCGTATTTAAAGTGTAAGAAGAGTAAAGGCTTTAATTTTTCGTCATCATTTCTACTTGATTTCCTTATTTTTTTTTAACGAATGAAATTACACTTTTTGTATCTCTTCTTTACACTTTTATGAAGCTAAACTCAGAAGATAATTAACAAATAATTTAATTAATTAATTAATTTTATCTTTAAAGGATTTTTTTTAAATTAATATAACGACTATAAACATTAATTATATTAATTCTTTTTTTTTTAAATTTCAGAACAACAGTGCGATAGAAGCCGGTTGTAAGTACATTTTTTTTATACACTTATTTAAAAAAATGTTTTAATAAAATAATAGAAGTAATTTTATGTAGATAAAATTTAATGCTCTTTTAAAAATATTACAAAAACTTTTGTATATCTTATCAACTTCGACATTTTTTTCTATAATTTTTTAAAGAAAAAAAAACGAGTAAGAACATCGTGTTAAGAGGTTCAATTAACTAGATTCTTAAGAATGTAGATAAATAGTTTCGCTGAAAAAAATCACAAAAAAATAGAAATTTTTTCCCTTAAAATCCTCTTAAACTGTAAATAATTGTCAATCTTACTTCAGTAATTCTTTCCCATTTTAATGAATTTTTTTAAATATTAAATACTTAATTATTTTTACTAATGAAGCAGTGCTTCTAGCTTATTTAATCAACAAAATCATAATTTTTTTTCTATTAAATCCCATTAAAAATCTATTGATAAAGTAATGAAATTCATTCTTAAATAACCAATATATATTTTTATAAAATGTGTATATATATATACATATATATTTAATATATTTTTTAAGTATAAAACTAGTAGATATGTCTGTTTTAAATCAATTTAATGATAAATTGAAAGTTGAATTTTGATACGTTCTCCAGTAAAATAGAGTAAGACATTATAATCAATATATTGATTTAAGACAGTTGACCAGAATATGGATTTAATGGTCAATATTGTAATTTTTCTTAAATCGATTTAATGTTTATATCACGTCTAGAGATGCACCCCTTAACTGAAGAATATGATAAATATTTAAAATTAATTATTTAATATATAATACTTCATTATTATAAGTTAAACAGCAAATTATAAAGCATAAATAAAATAAGCCATATTCATTATTCAGGACACGTTATCACTTCTTATCATTCTATACTCGTTCACTCTTTATATGCCTTGTCAATAACAGATGGAAGCATTGTCTTTTCCAGATCCGAAACAGGTGCTCAAGACAGTTACGACAACTGTGCCCCATCAAATGATGTCACCAACTCTTGCCCTTATGAACTACTTAGTAAATCAGGTACGTATCCTTATTTATCCATGGATAACCCTCTAGTAGTGTTAAAGAATTAGCGAAATTTTTTGCATATACCATACTTTTTCTTCCTTCGATACTTTTCATTAAGCCAATAATAATGTTTGAAGAGTATAAGTGTTTTTTTTTATAATGGAAGAAAAAATACAAACGTGATAGAAATCAATGGTGCTAATTACGTTTAGTGTATTATTAGCATTTTTTAAAAAATACCTGCGCCCTTTTTTGCATCACTTTAAATGGTTAAAATTACGATTCTTGTGTAAAAATATAGCTATTATTTTCGTTAAATTTATATGAAAATCAGTTAATTTTTAATAGTTTTTTTATGAGTTGATGTTAAGTTTTTTTTTTTTTTAATTTTCAACACTAAACGTTATCAAAGTTGTAAAAAGTTCAAAAAAGTTTACTGTTAATTATGGATTTCTTTCATACAGAAAAAAATGGGAAGTGAAGTTCATAAAAAAAAAAAATGTTGTTGAGTCAATGTTTAAACAATCAAAATAAACAATTTATGAAAGAAAACAATTTAAAATAATTAAGGCATTTATCTATAACGGTTCATTCTGGATGAAAAGAGGAATTTAAAACTTTCATCAATTGATTTAGTCAAGCATCGCAGGCGAAAAGAATTTCGTAGAAAATTATTTAAATTAATTGCTTTCACGCAGAACAGATCAATGGAAATGTCGGCTCTTTCTAATTATGGAACAATTCAGAATTCCTTTATCGCTTCGTTTAATAACATAAAACTCAATTATTGTTCGGTTGACAGAAGAGATCAAGATAGGAATCTGGATCAAATCCAAGCCAACATCCCTGCCTTGTTTATTATCAACGTACCAAATTATATATATTTATAAAAAGAAAAAAAAGAATATTTTGTAAAAAAAAAAATCATATCGTAGAAACAATTCTGATTTATCTTTGTAACTATCTCCACAATAAAAATTAATCACAACGAAAATACAATTAAAAAAATAATAATTATCTTTACTATAACTCAGTTTTATAAAATATTATTCTCTCCCTCTGCTTCGTATGAATAATTTTTGACTCTCATATTAATTGTTGGAAAATTAAATCGTTTTGCTATTCTAAACGTCGTTACTGACTGAATTAATTTACATTAATATACATAATTCAATGTTAAAATGAATTATTACTATTTTATTAAGCTAATTGTAACCTCAAAAGAATTAAATTTTAATCAAGTTGGATTTTAACAAACTTAATTTCGATCTTTGTATATCATTTTAACAAATTCGTAATCATAAAAGTAAGAAGAATTTTTTTTTAAATTCGATTGTTCTTTCGTCATCTTCATCAGTGTTTCCTCTCCCCAAGTTTTTTTCATGTTAAAAGATAGGAAATTAATGTAATAATTTTAGCCAAACTTCTATGGATTTTAAATTATTATTATTACTACTGATTGTTCTTATCTTTTCGAGTTCATTAAAGTCAAATTAACGTTTAAAAAATGTACATTTTTGATGTTGTAAAAGTCTGAATGTGATAGAAAATTATTAATTTCCATATGACAGATGTTTAATAAAACTTAATAAATATTAATTCTAGATATTTGCCGAATTATTGTATAATTTAATATTAAATTATAGAATAAATTAGTAACGGCAATAAAATGAACAAATTAACTAAATAAAATGATATTAATAAATTATCAATTTAACATCAATTAATAATTTTAAATTTCTTAAAATTTTCATGCAATAAATTTAGCATAAAAAGTCTAATTTTGTAGAAAATAATTAAATTATAATCATATAATATTTATTATTTAAATACAGTTAAATATTTTTCTAAGCTTAGGTATAGAATAAAATTTTCAAGACAATAATCATAAATACCTTAAAATTTGTAAGCAATTTACAATAATATATTCAGCGTGAAAATCATTAAATTGTAAGGAAAAAAAAATCAAAAATTTAATTATTTGTAAAGAAAAAAAAACAAATTTTAAGTAAATTTTTATTGAAATTTATAATATGAGTAATTTAATAAATTCATTTTAAACGTTTACCTCTAATAACGATCAGTTTATTTACTTAACCAAGCTAACCTATTATTTAACTAAACTATTATTTCATTAAACTAAACAGTCGCATCTTTAATCAATTATTTGAATAATCCAACCAAATTCTTTATTAAATAAATGTATTTATTTATTTTTATTTATTAAATTAACCGATTACATTAATAAATTAATCCATTTCTGTATACGAGACACATGGTTTTTATTATTAAAAATGGTTCATTTTTTATAGTAATTACTTTTAAAATAAAAGATCGTGATCTCAAATTAGTTATTTGAGATCGAAAGCATATATTTTAAATGGTTTCTTGCTCCTGTACATCATACTTTACCTGATAACAACCGAGTCATACAGGTCATCTATCTTTGTTCTGTTCTGGAGAAAACTTTTGGATTGAAATAATGTGACTTCCGGTGTTGACCGAAAGTTAAACGGGGCTTTCCATATCTGGTCTCGAATTTCATCTACCTAACTTCTTTCTCGAGATTAAGGAAGGGCAGACAGACGGACGGACGGACAGGCAGACGTCAATAGGAATTTATAGGTTTGCAATTTGAAAATTGCAGCCCAAAATTATGCAGTTGATTAATTTAATAAATAAAAAAAACGTTTTTTTTTTAAAATAGAAATATCAAAACTCATTTTTCAGCTTAGAAATTATTTAATAAAATTTTTTTTATTGAAATACATTTTCTCACGTCATTTACTCGTTCCACTCTTTCACTTTCAGGAAGAGGAAAAAATTCAATAAATAAAAATTTAGAATATAAATTTGTTGAAAAATAACTTCATAACTCTTTTTTGTTACTTTACTATTGTTCTTTTCTTCCACAAAGTATCATCTTCAGTTGAAAAGAAGTTATCTTGACGTTTCATACTTGAACGAAACTACTTCAAATCGTGGGTAATCACTTTTCTCTTATTATTTTAGAAAAATTGACTTTTAAGTTGACAGTTTTGAAGGTTAAAATAAGCTTTAAGTATTATCAAAGTTAATTTTTTTTTCTTCCTCCTTCTCTTACTGTATCCAATAAAAGATAGGAAGGAAGCGAGTAAGGAAACTGTTGACTTAATTCAGTATTTTTAAATAAATAATTTATAATTTAATTTAATTACTTATCGAAATTAAGTAATTGAACGGTTAAAAATGTTCCAATTAAAATAACCAAAGAAAGTTTACAAAAAAAAAAGTGACCTTTAATTGCTTCAAAAAAAGAACCCAAAAGGGATTAAATGATCTCTTGGCATTAATATATAAATAGATCAGTTAATGTAGTTTTTAAACAAGTTAAAAGTTCAAATAGGTCTTTTTCTTTCGGATCTTTTTCGGTTCTTGAGAAGAAATAAAAAAAAATTTGGAGGAGTTTCTATCAATTCTTTAATCACTGCAACAGTCAAAGTATAATAAAGGGCCAAAAACTTTTTCAATCAGTTATCGATAGATAAGTCAAGAATCAATAAAGAATTGTTGGTGTCGATAAAAACCTCTACCGTGCAAATCTATTAAGGGTACAACACGTTTAATTACACAACTGATCTAGTAAGATAGATTTCTTTTTTTTCCTCCCTTGTTTACTACTGATTGAGGTGCTATCGATACTAGACGAAAACAATACACGTGTTAAGAGTTAATCCACTTAAAGGGCCAGAAAATGTTATATTTTATCGTAATTTTAACGTGGTAAGTTGAACTTTAATTAATTGCATTTTTACTAGAAATTCGTCAAAATTACTTATACGACACCCCCGTAAAAAGTTCTTAAGATTAATAACGTGGTGCGAGCTTTAGACGTTGTTTATTAAGAAAGAAGGTAGCAGCAGTTAGTTAATAAAATGCTTGGAAACTTACATTACGTTGTTCTTACAGTAATGACACAACACACTATCCTATCTATGGCACATGTTCTCGCTATCACATTACTTTCTTGTAATATCCTCATTCTACTTCGTAATTAAAACTCAGCAGTAACTAAATTGCTATTACTCTTTTACTAAAAGAAGGTGAAGTTAATCGAATGGGTCGTTGGTTGTTGTTGTTGTGTGTGCGGTTTGTGTTGATGGCATTTTTCTATAACCGAATTTTTAATTTTATATACTCGTTTAACGTTTACTTTTCATACTGTTATAATTTATATAAATTCAAAAATGTATTATTCATTTATATATATATATTTAAGAAAATGTATTTATTATTCTAGCTATCAGTAACTTTACGTATGATGTATGATTATTTATTATTTGTATTCTTTCTGTTATAAACTTCGATTAAAGTTTCCTAGTAGAGTATAACAATGATATATCAGCTGAGGCATAGTGTAGTTAATCTTTCATTTACTTTCGGTGATATAAATCTTGAAAAATTTCCCAGAGGACCATACATATATCAAAAATGAACCATGTTTTGTGAATATGAAAGTAATATATTTTCTTTACCAGTTACTTATTCATTTCTTTTAAAGAATAAAAAAAAAAATTTTCTTTAATATAAAATTAAAATGACTTTCTTTCAGACACACACACACAATTTATATATATATATGAAATTCTAGATATTAAAACTGCTGAACGTAGTTTTTTTATTGGCGTAGTTTATAGCGAGTCTATAAGTGCAGTTTTTATTACTTTCCTATAAAAATCAAAAACGATAAATATAAATCAATAAGCAGTATTTTTTTAAAGTTATTTCGTAGCAAATTTTGTGCAACTATGCATAAAAGGTTCGACTCTACGCCATTCTTATGTAGCGTGTTATAAAAGTGAAGTATATCCTCCGAGAAGATACGCTATAACTTTCAAGTTCCATGTGTTATAGACATTCGAGCAATATCACATTGCTTGATATATTGTAAAGGTTATTAATAATAAAAAAAAAACAAGCTGCAATTTCTATTATAAACTAATTCCATTTCCACAGAGAATAAAAAATTTATAAAGATAATTTTTTTCCAAAAATCAAAGCCTTCTCATCAATATAATTTAAAGAACTTGGTTTTTTTTAAATCAATTATTAAAATCCTAACGATTAAATATTTACTTTCTAAAGCATGTATTTATTGATTTTAAATATTTAATGTACTGTTGAGGCAATCTTTTATGCCATAGAAAAAAAAAGAAGATAGAATGGCTTGTATATAAATATATATATATATATATATTGCAAGAAACAACGAGGTAAAGGCCTTTACGATTCTAGAAACAAAGATGGATAGGACGATCAAAATTGCTAGACTAAACAGTAAAATAAATACACCAGAGACAAACATTGTACATCATTGTACCACGTCATCGAAGTCTTTGCTCCCTAAAGGATTTTCTAGACGTCTGTAGAGGTGAATTGGTCGACTGATTTATCCAGTCATGACTGAGTGGTGCAATACAGATAGCTGCGAGTAGATCACTTTGCTACAGAAAGATTCGACATTTAAAATTTTATGATGCTATAGTGCTCTTTGACGACTCTTAAATTTTGCTTTACACAACAATAATAACACACGATAAGAATGTGAAATGAATTATACAGTTAAAATTCGATTTACAATATATTCTTGGGATTACTCCTTTATAGATAAAGGTCATCGGGGGGGAGGATCGAAAATAAAATCGATTATCACGATATTAAATATATTTTAAGAGTCTGTTTATAAATTATTAAACAAAATATACGACGTCCTCTTCACTGTCTAGTGATTTATAATGTTGTTTTTGTATACAGATAAGAGAAGATAGCTGGTGTGTATATAAAGACACACCTTTACTACTAAATTTATATTTCGCTGCACACTTCTAAAACTTTTATCATGCATTTTACTTTCTGCTGCGAGAATCCTTTCACACTCAACTTAAAGCACGCTTTTATGGTCTATCAATTAACAATTAATTAGTGTTTTTTTTTTGCGAGTTTAAATTGTGATCGTGTTTAATTACAATTTAAAACTTCTACTTATAGTTTTTGACTTGAAATTCTTTTTAAAAATCACGTTTTTTTTATGTCATAATTTACTTTTTTAGTTTTTTAATCTTAAAAAAAAATAGAAACCAATTCGTTTAACCGACTAATCTAATCTCTGTGATCAAATTTTCATAATCAAAATTAGAAAATAAATTTTACATTCAAGTAATAAAGGAGAAAAATCGATAAGATTATATTGATTTTTCGATTAAGATAAATTTTTCATATATATAGGCCTATATTTCGTATTTCACTTTTCAATTAGTAAAAATAATTGATGTAAAACATATATAACTTTAATGAGAAAAAAATATATATTTATAAAATTTTATTTTTATTATATAAA